TAATATAAATAAATGTTCGATTTATCGAGTTTAGATGGTATTTATATAAACGGTCTATTTTTTTTTCTCTCAATTGAGAGAAAAAAAATGAATGAAGAAATAAAAAAATTAATATTTATAAATACAAAATTCCCATTTTCGCTCATTTTAACTGATAAATCATGGTATGAAATATCAAAAGATCACAAAGTAAGAGCAAACTGGATCATTAAAAAACATGGCAAAGCACATTCGTTTTTTTACGCGATTCGCTATAATAACTTTATATCATTAGAATTAGTTGATCTTCTTATCAAAGAAAACGTGAATTTATCCAGATATCTCGTGAAACGATTATTATTACAAATCGGAAAAACCGACGATAGTTCAATTGAATTAAAAATACAAAATAACATCAACGTCAACTATAATAATAATAACAACATGGATCAAGAAATATTTAAAGCTTCTCGAAATATTATAGAAATCGTCGGACCTCGAATATTTCAGTAATGGTGTTTGCAGCTTTGTTAAAAGAGGTCATGGCGAAGGTCTTCACTTGAAAGGGAATGACATTGAAATGTTTTATTTTTTGACAGGAGGTTCATTAGCCATAGGCTTGGCTCCAAAAAATTAATAGAAAAATCTTGAAAAAATAAAGGATCTTATATTAAATAAAAAATTCATATCAATAATTCCATTTGATTACCAAATAGAAATGCAAATAATTATTGTAAAAAGTATCCAGCCAAGGACGGATTTAAAAACAACAAGCAATTTGAACATAATTGCGAGAGCAATATTAATTTATCCTGAACTAGTAGAATTCTGGAAACAAATTGGCCACCATAATATATGTAAAGATGTCAATAAATTAGTGTTACAGGGTTCTTTGCTAATTATATTCTACCCAAATTATAAAAATGAAGTTGTAATTATCCAACTACAATTGATTTCATTGAATGCATATAACAATTGGTCAAAGTTGGATTCAATTTGACAAAATCTGTCATGACTGATATTTTAACAACTACAATTAGCTGCAATTCAATTTTAATGTGCTGCAATTAGTTGCAATTAATCGAGGAACCATATTTAGCAGAAACTGATAATATCAACAAACCTAAATAAAAAAAAAAGAAAACTGGGATATTTGGCACAACGTGGAACAGAAAATGGAAAGATTTGGTTAGGGAACTTGAAGAAAGAAAAGATATTATACTACAATTATTGTTATTTTTAATGGAATGTCCTTTTAATAAGTCAATATAATTTAGATATTTCTTGATCCATGTTATTATTATTACTGTTGTTTTTGTTGTTTTTGTTTTTGTTGTTGTTGACATTGATGTCATTTTGTATTTTTAGTTCAATTAGACTATCATCTGTTTTTCCGAATTGTAATAATAATCTTTGCACAAGATATCTAGATAAAAGTCACGTTTTCTTTGATAAGAAGTTCAACTAATTCTAATGATATAAAGTTATGAGCAATGTGTTTTTCCGTAGTTTTTAATGATCCAATTTGCTCTTACTTTGGATCTTTGATAGTTTATACCATGCTTTTATCAGTTAAAATGTAAATTTTGTATTATTATATATATTATTTCTTTTTTCTTTCTCTCAAAACGGACATTATTTACACATGATTACATATATATAACAAATAAATGAAAAAGTAAAAAATAATACATGATGCGGGTTCTTGTATTTACCCTATAAAATTTTTTTTCAGAAAATGTATGGTTTTTCCATACATTTTCCGTGCGTTTTGTATGGAATATTTACGGAATTATACATGAAAAGAACGCTTTTCCGTAGATATTTGTCCTGAAAATACCCGAAAATACATTCCGTACATTACCACAGCAAATCACATTTGTTTTTTTACGCGATTCTCTATAATAACTTTATATCATTAGAATTAGTTGAACTTCTTATCAAAGAAAACGTGACTTTTATCCGGATATCTCGTGCAACGATTATTATTACAATTCGGAAAAATAGACGATAGTTTAATTGAATTAAAAATACAAAATGACATCAACACCAACGACTACAACAGCAATAATAATGACATGGATCAAGGAATATCTAAAGCTTCTCGAAAATATTATAGAAATCCCTGGGCCTCAAATATTCCAGTAATGGTATTTGTAGCTTTGTTAAAGAAGCCAAACTAAAGTATGGTGAAAGCCTTCCCTCGAAAGGAAATGGCATTGAAATGTTTTCATTTTTTAACAGGGGGCCCATTAGCTATAGACTTGGCTCCAAAAAAAATAATTGAAAAAAATAAAGGATCTTATATTAAATAAAAAATTCATACCTTTCCTTAAGACCAGCGATCCCATTTGAAGACTCAATTGATTACCAAATAGAAATGCAAATACTTAATCATAAAGAATATCCGGCCAAGGATGGATTTGAAAACAACAAGCAATTGAACATAATTGCAAGAGCAATATTAATTTATCCTGAGATAGTAGAATTCTGGAAACAAATTGGCTATCATGATATATGTAAAGATGTCAATAATTTGGTGTTGCAGGGTTCTTTGTTAATTTTATTCTACCCAAATCATAAAAATGAAGAAGCTTGTGATTATCCAACTACAATGGACTTTGTCAAACGTATACAACAATTAGTAAAAGTTGGATTCAAGTTGACAAAATCTGTCATGACTGATATTCTAATTTTGTATGAACAACATATTGATAAAATTGGAATGACACTTTTAGAAGCTTTTCAAATTGTTAGGAATCAATCAAAATCTGATATTGTTGGATGTTGTATTGTAGAAGCTATTAAAGTTAATAGAAATTTGAAAAAACCTCAAGTTTTAGATTTTCTAAGAAAGCAAATTGAAGATAATTGTTTAGAACTTGTATTTCTTAAAGCACTGGTTTATCATTATTTTGATAATAAGACCAGAAAAAAATTAATTGATTTTCAAATTTTTGATAAAAATAGTTTAATTAGCAGCAACAATATAAGTAATATCAATATTATAGATAACATCAATGAAGAATCTATTAATTATTATTATAAATATGATTATTATTATGATTATGGTTATAATTATTATCCACACAATATCAAGGACTTGAGAAATGGTTATTATTGGACAAAGTATTATGTTAACAGATTGATATGTGATGATACTTGTAAATTTATAAATTCAAATATTGGGATGCCAATTAACAACATACGATCATTGAGATTAAGCAGTCATTTTTATAGATGGGTGTTAAAAAAATTCAATCCAGATTCATTAATCACAAGATTATGTTTCAATGATATAATTATATCAAAGTTGTGGATTGATAGAGAGTTGTTACTCCATCCTGAAAGATCAATACCAGGAAGAATGACTAGTTGTGCATTTGACTTGATTATACATACTTACAATGAATTTTGTCAGAATAATATTCCATTTGAATTGATCCATTTAAATTTATTAAAGAAATCAAACAATATAACAACTTTAAAACCATTTTTTGAAGGGTTTTTACCCCAAATTTTTAATCTCAAACCAACTTTTAAATATAATAGCAACATCAGCACCAGGGGACATGGATTGAAAAAACAACAATTATTGCAAAACCAGCCTCTTTTTCAACTGCTTGATGTTCATGAGAAGAAAATTGAAGTTGAGGAGAGAACAATATTATGGTTTTCTGAATTGGAAAAAATTTATCAAGAAGTAATAATGCAATTAAATACAAATGCACAAAATAATCAGTTTACTTTGAATTTTGTACTTTGTATGAGAAATTTTTGGAATAGGCTTATAGCAGAAACTAATTATATCAACAAACCTAAATCAAAAAAACGAAAAATTGAGGCATTGGAACAGAAAATGGATTGGGGACCAGTAAAAGAAAATGGATCAAAGAACAATAAAAAAAAATAGGTCAAAGATAAGGAACTTTGACAGGGAATCATTAGTATTTTTACTTCTATTATTACTATCTTTAATTCTTTAATATGATACTGTACAAGCCGATAAAAATAAATTTCTCTTAACATTCATTTTTTACATCTAGAATTTTGATGCAGAATTTAGTGGCATAGACACTTAGTTGAGATGGGTCCATCTGCATTACTTAGAATGACAAAAAAACATACATTTGCTCAAAAATAAAAATAAAAAAGATAAATACAATACTCGTAGCAGGATAAGATTCATAGTTGTAATACAAATTCTTATTCAAATTAATTGTTATTCGTTTATTCGAATACCCAAATTCATAACAAATAATTAGAATAAACCTTATTCGAACCATTAAATAGTAATAATGACGGATATAATGATAATAATAATAATAACAATAATAGTAATAATAACAATAATAGTAATAATATCTGAAAGCTTGGTACCATCTGAAAAGTTTTTTCATCAACTGGAGTTTATTAAGTTCTTAGCCGGTTAACTGCAATCAAATGGTCAACCTGTTAAGATATTTTTTTTAACCGGTTAACCACCTTTTTTATATATTACAGTCAAATCTCGTCACAACGGACCTCGTTACAGCAGATTTCTTGTTACAACGGATTTAAGTATTGTCTCCTTATTAATTAAAACGTTTGTCGTTAATAAATTTGTTCCACAGATTTTGATGGGGGTCTTCCTATATGGCTACAGCAGATTCACGTAACATATAAATGTCCAAGTTACAGAGATTGATAGAGGAAAACTGCAATTCTCCCTTTGGAACAAAATATCTAATAATGAAATTGAAAATTCAAGAAAAATAGTTGAAGAGATTTCAATTAGAGAAAAAATGATGTTAATATGTGGGGCATTTGAAAAGTTTTGTCACTGGTCCTGTAACTTTATAATTTTGAGTATAATTAATTTAAATTTTTTTTTAAATAAAAGACACTCTATTCCTTTTTCAAATAAAAAATAGATTGGTTTTTTTTATTTACT